CCTTCTTGAAATTAATTTCAAGCAGGAAACTTTTTTTTCTCCTGTTGAAACTTTTCTAAGACACCAGTTAATTTGTTACAAGACCTTTGAGGTCAAGGATGCAAATTACAATAAAATAAATATATATATATAAATGTTTCAATGAAAAGAGAAAATGGTAAGTACACACAAATACAATAACATGATACGCACAATGACCAACAATACATATATATAATATCACCATAGTTTAGATCGAAGCACTGTCAACATAACTTCTTTGATTATGTTCATGTATTCTTTTGATATAATCACGATTTAGTTTTAATTATTTATAGCAACACTGACTTTGGCACAACCAAAAACTTTTGATGGGCTATTCAACATTTAACTAATCATTGTACAAAACACACGAAACATTTCACAGCCGTAGCAAGGCCACCAACAGCACACTTCTACACCATGAGAAAAACTTGATTAAATTTGAGGCAGCGTGGTGGAATCAGGCTCTCGTCAATTTTTGGGCAAGTAGAGTTATTGGTATCTTCTTAAAGCTTGTTCACATGTCTTTATTTGGATGACAAAAATATCCATTTATCTTGAATACAAGTCGAGATATTTGCAAAATAAGGCGGTGGGGGTCTCCTGTTTTCAGAGGTAAAATAACTGACAAAATGGCCACCAAACACTAGTTATTTCCTTAGCTTAAGAGTCTGTGGTAACTGAAAATGAACATTTTTTGTGCCTTTAATCAACGTTTTTGAGAAAAATCCACACAGAAATGAGTTCTTTAATGGGCATGAAAGGTGTTGAGCCAAAAAAACAAAAATTTGATAACAATTCACAAACCTGCAAAAAAATGCAAGTTTCTTCACTTTGATTATTTTGACGAGAGCCTGATTCCACCACGCTGCCTCACATATCCCACATTGTTGTGAAGAAAGGAAAAAAAAAAATTCTAGTATCATGCCCCCTTTCTTGAACTGAACTCCCAACTCAAACAATGAAATTTGTTCCCGAACATTTTCCTTTTTTTAGTTTTAGTAGAGCTTTTATGGCGCTCACAACTGCATAAGGTCATACGAGCGCCAAGGGTTGGATGTCAACAGAGAAGTCCTAGGGAATCAGACTTACTCTGCTCACCTCTCTAGCTTCAACAGCACACAGTCTGCTTCAACTATCAAGGCACCCCGGAAATACCAGGTCACAAGAGTGTGACAAACATTCAAAAG